TCTGTCTGTATGCAGAAACGCGGATGACATAGGGTGGGTTGATGACTTCGGTCTCTGCATCGGAGTCCTCCTCCTCGTCCGTGTCGTCGTCCTCTATCTGCTCCTCAGGATCCTCCTTCGGATCCTCCTTCATCTGCTCCTCAGGATCCTCCTCTATCCAACCACCGTTCCCATGGTTGGGGAAATAGGGGTCTCCTGGTAAATGAAATCCTGCCATGACTTCTGTGCAAGGATAAAAGTATAAGAAACACATTAAGAGTCTAGGTGCATGGTTCTATAGTATCATAAAATACTCCTATAGTATTTTAAATTTTATTTTTGGTTCTTAGAGTTACTTTGTATGGTGTGTTGGTAAGTTTTAGACTCGTTGTTCACCACGACTATTCCCAAACACATGTTAGTCATATCTCGCATAAATATAGTTGATCAGGCTATATTTATCCAAGATATGATTACATAACTATCTAGGCCTAATCGCAGTGTTCAACTTATCTTTTTACTTTTGTATTTTTTTTGTTATGACACCATTTTAGTATGTATGTCTATACTTATAAAAATATAATTATATTTTAAAAGTATACTTGTGCGAAAATGTTTAGTCAGAGAGTTTTAGTCCCATTGTATTTATAGTTGTATATCTTACATGGTTTGATATACTTAGTTCACTATAAACAATGCTTTGATACCAATCTGTCATACCCCCAAACCAGGATGGCGGAAACGTCCGGGGGTGGATGAATTTCATGTATTGTATCATAATATAATGAATAATAGTGATCAACGCAAACACAATTATCATAAATATAATTGAGAAAGTTACATTGTTTTAAGATTTGCATGTTTCAAAATCAATTACAATATGATGATAAAAAGATTTGTTCGACGCCATAGCGTCCCATCCTCAAAAGCTTGTAATTACCTGATTTAATGATTTCCATAGAATACAAGTAGTTTTGAAAAGTGTCAACAATTAAGTTGGTGAGTTCATAAGAGTTTGTATGAAGAATTGTAAATCTTTCCTTGTAAAGTGATAGTGTTTGTTTCCAGAGAATCCAATATTTTCCTTAAAATGAGTTGTAGTCTTAGAAACCCTAAGACAGAAATGTACAAGTATTTCCATACTTAAAATAGTAATATGCAGTTTTAATTTATATAAAACCGTTTGAATGTATGTTTCCCCGTAAACTAAATATATCGTTGTTTCCCCATTTGAGTTATTATAACCGTGCTAAAGACATAGATGGCCTGTTACGACGTTCTTCAATCGTCAGAATGTTAGACATTTGTCACCCCATACCTGTCGGTCTAGCTGTTTCAAGCAGCTTAGTTGTGGGATTGTCAGTCTCGTATAGATCTATACACAAGTATCACACTCTCTTACGGGAGATTCTGGTTATAATACAAGACTTTTGTAGGTACACTGATATGTACGATGAAGACTTTGACTCACAAAAATTGATTCAACGAGTTTACGTTTTGTTGTAATGAAAACCTTTGTATGTGTAATTATCACTTTTCCATGATAATAAAATAGTATAAAATAATTACATATATATATATATATATATATATATATATATATATATATATATATATATATATATATAAGGAAATAATCAAATGAGAACGCCTAAAAGGTTGAGAACGCGAGAACAATTGTGAACCAATCATCATATAAGGGCATAAAAGGAATTTTACAGTATAATTAATTATGGATGATTTATGATTAATTAATTAATTCCTATAATCATGGGATTTAATATGATTAATAGATTTTTTTACCCAAATATTAGGAACTTATATAATCTATTTTAAATTAACAAAATCAATAAAATGATTTTAAAAAACGTTTTTAGCATAATTTTAAAAAAAAATGTTATTTTTTTTGCTTTAAGTTTTTTTTACCAACCACATCAAAAATACTGACGCATTAATCATTTTATCCGAATATTAGTAATCATGCATGAATGAATATATATTTGTAGTCATATGAAACCGGTAATAATCTTGAATGAATAGATGAATTAATTTATATTCATAAATGAATAAAACACAATTAAAGAAACATCACCATAAAAACATCTAAATATGAATTGCTTCAATCATTAATGAATATACATCTAATCTTATGAATACATTTAAATACACAGTTAATCACTAATGAATACACATTTATTCATAAATGAATCGAAAACATTGTTAAGAGACAAAGAATTTCTAATATGGTATCGACTTTGGCTTCCTCGGTTAAAGAGATTGATTCGTTGTAGATCTCCGATGGGTCACAGAGGCGTGGTAGTCCGACGATGATTTTTCTCAGACCGCCTTAATCTTTTCTGTCACCCGACTTCCCTTTTCCATAGCATTCTTTCTATGTGTATATTTTTTTCTGATCAAGCTATTGTATCTGTATCAACATAAAAACCCAATATTGATAAATGAATAAGACATGAGTGAAAAAAATAATGTAATATAATAAGCCAGACTATGATATTCACTGTTCATAAATGAATAATGTTTTAGTTAAAAAAAATAAGACATTTGACATTGTATTCATATAAGATTAAAATTGAATTTTTATTGATAAATTCACATAGTCATATTTCATAGATGAATAAAACTAGATTCATCTATGAATATGTCTAAATGATGAACATGAATCACTCAAGATTTACAGAAACCAACAATCAAACACTTGGTGTGCATGAAGAGATTCATCCAAAAACCCATTTAACAGACATAAAAAGGAAGAGGAAAATGGTATTCAATAAGCAAGAACCTCTTTTCTTATCATAAGAAGCCCAACTGCATATTCATTGTTATGTTTATGTTTCCTATGCCACAGCATGCCAAGAAAGACCCAATTTTGCTATATATTGGACACAACATAAAAGCAATTTCAAAAACATTTGCAGAGGCTATCTAAATATTGAACATAAACCAATGAAATTGAATCAGATGGTAATCACAAGCTAGCACAGGAAAAACACAAAACCTCGGTACAAAAAGAGGCACTCAGTTAAATAACTGAAACATACATTATCAATACACAGATGGTCGATGGGAACACGTTTAAACAATTCAAAAAAAAAACGTACCTGCTTAAATCCACGAGATAAACGGTAATAAGCTAATCACAACAATGCACAAAGGAGACCGCTGATTCCATACACTTTCTTTTTCCAGATTTTCTCACTTTGTTGATTGCAGGGGTGCGCCGGTGGCCAGTAGTTAACGGAAGTGAGATAGCCGCTGGACCTTGAAAAAACGGAAATTAAATGAGAACTTCTTCGACAAGGAGACAATAGTAGAAAGAGTATCATCGATGTTATCAACCTTAATCAAAGACACAATCTTACACTGAATTGCATCTTCGTCATCAGGAGCAACAGATAAAACTGCAGAAAAACAATATTAACTTAAATCAATGACGAATCTGGCGACTAGGATGTGGGAAACATCGAAGGTATTTGGAATTGGATCGCCGAGTGAAGAGAGGAAAGAAGAGGGAGCGTAATTCATAGAGGAAAGCGGCTTATTATGAAACCATAGAGAGAAAGAGGGAGAGAGGGGGGGGGGGTAAAGATACGGGTATAAGAAAGGAATGAGGAGAGAGTGTGAGAAATTATAGGAAATAGGTAAATTTATAATTCCTATTATGCCCTTCTGACCATTTAAATGTTACACCCTAATGCCAGTAGTTTTAGAACTTTTCATAAATCGTCCATTCAATAATAAGCTTAGATCTAAGTATTTAAATGGTCCAGAAGTGTTCTCGCGTTCTCAACCTTTTAGGTGTTCTCATTTGATCCTACTCATATATATATATATATATATATATATATATATATATATATATATATATATATCCACTTTGCTTAACTTGGTACAATAGTGTTAATGATCCATAAACTATACTTATATAGTTTATTATAATATATGATTATTGTACCTATATATACATATATAGAGGCTAGCATGCTTAGATATTCATAATTAACAAGTATTTTACATCTAGCACAAATAAGTGAGTCATTAGTATGAAAATGTTATTTTTCTAGTTTTTGACTTTTAACGTCACAAACGGCAAATAGTGAAATATAGTCGATGTACTTACCTTACCAGCCTCATACATCTTCCCTGGTCCCTGCTCATTGCAAGGAGTTATGTAAAACTTATTTTTACATTTTGTGTTTTTTAGGCCAAGTTAACTTTATATGTTTTAAACAACATATTTAATTTTGGTCAAAACCCACAAAATGGTGTCATAACCTAGTTATGAACATTTTTATTAGAAAACCTATTTTTGCATAAAATGATAGATTTTGAAGTATTTTTTTTGTAAAACTAAATCTTTGGTATTTTTGACTAGTTTCAAGACATATGTCCAGAATAACATATTTTGACTTATGTTCCACAAAATTGGTGTAATAACTTGGTTATAACCATTTTTGTTAGACTAATCATATTATGCTCATAAAAACCCTACTTTTTATTGTTTTGTGTTTATAACTTTTTCATAAGAACATATAGCATGTTTATACTTGTTTTTCATAGTTTTGTATTTTAAACATACTTTTACATCTAAATGTTCATAAATCTTGGTAATAACATTATTTCATGTATTTAACACTTTTACCCAACATGTAAGCAAGCATGCATAACAACTTGTATATTTATACAAGTTTACTTATTTTCTCCCCCAAAAACTTAGAAATCTCGAAAATAAAGGGGTATGAACTCACCTTATGTGTGTTTTCTTGATGAGTGAAAAGTTGTAGATGGAGAGTTTCAAGTCAAGAACACTTGAAGAACACTTTGAAGATTTGAAGATCCTATGAATAGTAACATATGATAATGTGTGTAAATGGATTGAAACTAGTATGTCAGTGTGTAGAATCACTAGAAGATGAAGGAAGTACTTACCAAAAGCTCAAGAACCAACTTGGAAGAATTTTGCTAGAGAGAATGAGAGCTTAAACTTGAAGAAGAAGTGAAAAATGAAGAATATGATGATGAATGAAGGTTTGTCGGCCGAGTTTAAGAGAGAGATGGGGAAGAGGGGTGAGGGGGGTGGGTGGGTAGGGTGGGTTATGGGGGTGGTATGGGGGACATGGATGAGACTAAAGGTGGCTACTCTAGGGTTAAGTAGTTGGGTAATTAAGGTGAGAGTACAAGCCTAATTAACTAGTGACTTTTTATTAAAAAAAGTCAACCTTTTATAAACTTTAGGTGTTTTTTTATAAAAATGTTGGTGTTTTATAAAATAAATTTGGTATAAAGGATGTATAAAATATATAATTTGAATTATAAAAATTCAAATTATTATAACAAGCATTATTATCAAAATAATAATACGTTACATGAAAGTTAGGTTGAATTCTCAATTTCGTTTCGTTAAAATTTGGTGTTTGCCATGTATAGACTTTGTCGTATTTGGTAACGAATTCACCAAAAGTTCGTGTTTGTAGCCTTTGCTATGATCTTGCCTCGTAGTGTTAGGCTTATGAACTCTACTGCATTGTGTTACAAGTATTATTTATTCCTAAATAATATATAGCTTAATTATCGAGTTGTTACGTTACTAACCATTATTAGGGTTAATATTTGATAATTGGTAAGAAGAAAGGTACTTTGTATTATTATATGCAAGTCGTACATTAGGAATATTAGGAAACATAGTGCTTATCCTAAAATCCTAATACTAGTCGAGTTTACTTTGTTGACTTGTTGACTTTGTTTGACCCAAAATTGACAGTTGTCACAACTGTACGTGCGTTGAAGAACAAAATCTATTTGAATCAAGGATTATATCCAGAAACAGACTCATATCGATGCAATCAACCCTCCTTCTCAAATGGACCAGGGGGCGGATCTGAAGTTCAGTTTACCCACACAAGTGGAGCAACGAATCTACCAACACCCCCCACTACCATCACTGCTTCTTCATCTCCGGTCATGTCTCAGCTTCAGGCTCAGGTCATGGCTTCTCGAGCAACTGACATTGACGCCGACGACGATGAACTTGACTTTTGTTTTGCTCATCCCTCTATAAACAGGGGCCCTCCTGTTAATGCTTACATCATCGCACATAAACAAGTTTACCCTTCAAAATAAGAACTGATGGATGCACCTTTCTCTCCCTTTCATACAGTTTCAAGAGCAAAAGTGCTTCTCCAACCGCCACCACCTAGCAATCAGTAGCCGAAAACCCTAGTAATCAACCGCCATCGTCATTCCGATGAACGCTAGAGTTTTAAACGGTGAGGTCGTCAGAGAATGAGAGAGACGAATTGATTGTTTTCTTGTTCGTCGAGGTATGGTTTGCAGAGGCGAAGTGGGGTGATTTCCGATCTTTGGTTGAAGTTTGCTTAGCGGTTTGTTTCTTTGAGAGCTTTATGGTTGAGGTAGCAGTGGCGGTTGATGTTAGGAGGGTGGAGGTGTTGGATCGATAACCACAAGAAAGATCTAATATAAATACACAGATCAATTCACACACATAAACCTAGAGAAGATACGCCCTTTTAGTAGTCTTGATCTTTCCTCACTTGAATGGGTCTTCACATCTCTTTTTGATTCTCAAATGGAGTTGAGTTTGCTCGACGTTTACAAGAGGGAGAGAGAGAGAGAGAGAGAGAGTATTTTATTTTTAAATGTTTTTTAATTGCTGGTAATAAAAAAAATGAAAAATTAAATAATAAGGACAAAATCTTCTTTACAAATAAGTTTAAACTAAATTGGACTAAACTCACAAGAAAATGAAACTTTTAGACCATTGATGCTAGTCCATACTTTTATGGCCCAAACATGTTTGTTTTGACATACCACATGGACCATTCTTGCATATTGTCTTTGGTTGACAAAGAAACTTTAATTATTTAAATTTCATTAAATTTTGGGTTAGAAGGATTTGATCATTATTTGGCTAGCAAAGACTTTAGATTCATTTTCTTATACTTTATTAAAAAGATAAAAATGCTATGACACTCTTTATTTTAACCATGATTCACCAAATCAAAAGAAATTACAATCATATTTTTCACACCCCAACCTTCCGCTGACCCACCCATCCAACTTCACCCACATCCACACTCACACCGACATTCACATGCATATGCCTATGTTTATGTTGACAAGTTTGAGTGCATAAGAATTTAACAAATGAAGTTTTTAACTAAAGGAATGTTTTATCATTTTCATTCAAAATAATAATAAGTTACAAAAAATCAATGAAATGGTATTTTGGTCATATTAAATAATTTAGTCTCCAATTCTATTGACAAATCTATATAAACCAAATAGAAAGCAGATTTTGTCTCATGCCAACTAATCGCATAATAGATTTCAGTTCCTTCAAAATTTAATTCATTTGATAGATTTCATTCCTCCAAAATCATTATTCGAACCAAATACCCCATAAATAATCAACTTAGTAGAATATATAAAAATGTAATATTAGCCTTTTATCGACTCCCTATTTAGATTTTTATTTGAATGATTATAAATTGGTTTTAAAAGATTCGACTCCATTATCTTGAGAATTAAAATTTTGCAACATAATTATGAAATATGATTTTATAGAAAAAATAGTTACTTAGTACCATGTTGTAACGTAGTAGTATAGGGCTATACAATGTATGCAACATATATAACCTGATCCATATATGACTTATGAAAAATTATCATCATAGAAACAACCTTGGATTTTGAGAATTTGTAGTGTTCATCTTCAATATCAAGTATCTTGCCAAAAAATTGATTTGAACAAAAATACTCATTTAATTAGAAATTTTCGAAATATGGTTATACCATAAGTTAATTTACTAAATATGCTCATTTTGAAATTTATGATTCATCATAAAAACTCCTCCAAAAACCTTAAAATTTATGATTCATCATAAAAACTCGAAAATCAAATAAAATGGATGAGCTTCATCGGTATTAAGAAAAAAATGTTTGCACCTACCCTTGTGAAAGAAACAAGAATAGAAGATGATTTTTGTTAGATTTTGGGTCTAAGAATATTAATATATACTTAGATAATTCTAGAATCGTGATTGCAGTCGCTTTCCAAAATCTGTGATTTCGACCCTAGAGCCTGGGGGTATCACGAAATCTGATTTATGATAATCAAAGAATGACAATTTAGAAGTCATGTCACAAACACAAAAAATACCTTATTGTTTTGTGTTTTTATGAGATAGAGAATCTGATGATCAATTTTCGAGTATGGAAAATCCAACATTTTTCTGGAACATTCACTATGTTCTTATACAAGGAAGAAAGGTGGTTAAATGGTGGTTACATCCATTTTGGCGCCAAAATGGTGGTTATAAGACATAACTGAGTCTTACATCTCAATGATGTCACAACCTGTTTTGGAACTACTGTCAGAGGCTCTGCTTTTTGAACCCCACAAGGGACGTTACCCCTAGACCCCTCTAGGGGCGCTGTACCTAGGATCCCTGTACCCAAGGGCGCTACCCTCGGACCCCCGTATTTCCTAATTCATATTTATCACTCCGGATGTGCACATCGCATCTCTAGTCTCTGTATGTAAATAGAACTCAGTTTTCCAAACCTGGGAAAACTGCTATCAACAGCAATGCCATTCTTAATTAGTCTTAGTTTCCATAAAAAACACCCATTTTCAAGGGCAACCATTTGTTCCAAAGATTTTGATAAAGAGATCTCTAGCCAGTCTCTTCTTTTGAGAGGACAACTCAATCAACTCGGCGGATCCCCTCTTGTCAAAATACTGAAAGCGAGAGTGAAGCATGTGTTTCGTTTACATTCTAACTATTTTACCATAGTTAAGAGAGTCAAGACGATCTTCCTTTTCTTTTGCCATCTGAATATTACTCCCTCCGTCCCAAAATAATAGTCCACAAACAAAAAACACACAGTTTAAGAAAACATTAATTATCATTAACTTTATTAAATAAAATGACAGTCTTACCCTTCTGTTGCATTTAATTCTATGGTAGTTGCATTTAATTTTATGGTAATTTAACTAACAATGAGGGGTATTATCGTAAAATACATATTTATTTTTAGAAGTAGACAATTATTTTTGGACAAGCCAAAAAGGAAACATGGACTATTAATATGGGACGGAGGGAGTAAAATAACTACACTAAAACATTTTGATAACTAAAACCACCAACAATTTTGTTAAAGTGCTAAGAACTCGAATTGAAGAGCCATCTAATTACTTCATCAAATTTCTTGCACACGCACAACACCAAGAACACACTAATTAAAGAATTTACCGGCAAAGACGGGTCTATAATCATCATGATGGTGGAGTTGGGAGAAATTTGCTAGAAAAGGGTTTATGAATAATTTTAAGGATTAATAAAAATAGTGGCGGATGTTCATTCTACATGGGTGTTCTATATATACATGTAGATTAATACACAGATTATTTTGTTTAATATTTACATAACACTTTGAACAAAGGTTTATAAACTATAAGCTTATAAATTGCATAACTTTTGAACCAATGTTTTAATAACAATTTATCATTTTATATTAACGATATCACAATTCAAATACAACTGATTATACAACAAAACAAATGAAGCAAAAAAAAGGATTAGATGGTATCTTGTCCATGGTTTAGATGTCGCTCTAATAAAAAAAATAAAAAAATAATCATTAGTACTTTATATACGCATTGATTAAATGACATTCAATATAATTCTAACTAGAAAGGTTACCCCGCTACGCGGGGGCCAGAAACTTTCAATGTTGTTTTCGAATTGATAAATATGACAGACATAGAAAATCCAAGGATGAAAAGTCCGGGCTTTGCCCCGGACAAAAAATGTAAAAGTTTTGACTGTAAGGACCAAAAGTGTGAAAATGGCTAAAGAATTAAAGGGGTAGGAATTAGCAACTTTTTAGAAAAGGGATCAAAGTTGTCAAACCGTTAAAGTTTTGTGGCCAAACTTTAAATATTAAAAGGTTCCAAAAAAGTGTAAAAATATTGATTGCAAGGACCAAAAATGTCAAAATGGGTAAAGAATAATGAGCAAAGTTGTCAAAAAAATCCAAATTTAGTATTCCTAACTTCCAACAATAATACAGGGACCAATTCTGCCAAAAAAATGGGAAGTTGAATGGAACAAAAGGACATGAATAAATTAATTAAAGAAGTACAGGGACCAGATATGTAAATCAAGGGGCCAAAGCTGGACAAAATATGCCAACTTTACTATTCATTTCTTCCACAATTTTAATATATATATAATAATCACAATGGACCTATGCACATTGTCCCCCCTCAAAAATGGACCACTTGTTCAGCATCAAATGTAGTTAAATGGAATATATCCAAATCGTCACTTTAAAAAAATGTTCCAAATAAAGCTAGTTGTATCAAATGAGGTCAAATATTGCATCTAAAAACTAAAAGCCATGTTAGTTTATACATAAGACCTAAATAAATCTTCATCATCATCATCAAAAATAACCTAAAAAGTTCAGATCCAACTCATAAAAAAAAATCAATGAGCGGGTGTCACAACTTTATCCTTGTGTTAATTAGTTTCTGTAGTACCATTACCTACAAAATATAACATATTCATGCTTTATATATATATATATATATATATATATATATATATATATATATATATATATATATATATATATATATATTGACTAATTGATCACAAGACAATATGAATATGTAAATAAAAAAGGACATTTGCATGTTGTCCCCCCAAAACAGGACCACCAGTTTTCTACCAAGGCACCAATCATAAAATTTAGCTGATTTTTTTACTAAATAAACTTTCATTTGATTTCAATGAGTGGGTCTCATAACATATTCAAATAGAATGTTCACTTTCAGATTACTATCAACCAACTTATAAAACAAAATAAGATTGTGTACAAAGTTTGCACTTTGTTTTCACCCGTCGTTGTCCCCTTGATATTGGACCACTTATTTAACGCGTGTTTGTTTATATATTAATTGCTCTCGTTTATTCATATGATATTACACTCGTATTTACACATAATATTATAGTACCATAGTATCAACACCTTTGATCTTCCTAGTCCACGATTAATATGTTATCCAAACTCTTAAGTACCATATAACTACA